TCTGCAGTCAGGAATTCTCCACATGACACTGGGGACTCTTGTCTAGTACACGTAGTAAAATAAATCACCAGCACACCAAAGTAAAATCTTCCATGAGTGGTCATTTTATTGATGTACACATCTCATCAGGAAGCAAAGTTTCAGGGGCCACTCAGGGTCATGCCTGGTGAAGGGAGCCCGAGTGGCCCCGAAACGTTGTGATCAGATGTGTGTACATCAATAAAATGACCACTCGTAGAAGATTTTACTTCGGTGTGCTGGTGATATATTTTACTGCTTGGATTTGAAGTGGTGCCATCCACTACCCCTGCAGCACCCACTTCAAAAGGGACATACCAGTAAGGGGTGCGGTGGGGACCTCTTTTAATCTGTCTAGTACACAACATGGCCGATATTGTGTCACCCGATCGAGGAAATGTGAAAAGCGGGGGCCACCGGCTCCGTAACAGTTGTTTAATAAAATGACTTTTACAAAGTGACAGCCTGATGTTTTCTTTCCGCCAACGCTTAGTGTTTCATCAGATTGTAGTCTCTCTTTTACAAGCACTATATAAATGCTTTCACAAATACGCTTTTTAAAAGCATGTTCACCCAAAACTCATTTCAGTTCTAGATATCTGCGGTTTGTATCACCCAACAGCGATATCTATACATTTCTGAGATGTCGGTGCTCAAAACTTTGCCCCCCCTAGGTTTTAGCTTTACAGAACTGCCATGGTCATAAGGGCTGAAGGTGTAAACACAGGGGTTGGCAAACTCCGTCCCTCCAGTTGTGGGGCAACTACAAGTCCCATGAGGCATTGCAAGCCTGATACATGATGGCATTTGTAGTTTAATCACAGCTGGAGGGTCGGAGTTTGCCCAACACTGGTGTAGCAGAACATGACTGTCTCTCCATTGGGGTGTTCCAAAGTTTAAAGGCCCCCGTCATTTAAAAAAAAAAAAAATGAGGTATAAATATCACTGTCCCTGTACCGCTAGGCGCCACTTGAAGAGGAATAGTAACCTAAAAAGCAGACATTTGCCAGAGTATCTATCTCCTGAAACAACTCTGTCAGCACCCAGTGGTTCCTCTTGCTGAAGTCCACACTGGTTCTGTGTCATGTACCTACACGGAGGTCAGCAAATGGAACAACCAAGACCTGCAGAGGACACTGATTGAAACTACCAAAGTTTTTCAGGGGATGATTCCTCCTCAGCGGAGCAGTGTTTGACAGCTGGAGAGGTAAGTATTTAGTATGGAGATGCATTGCCCCTCATACTCGATAGAGTCAATGTCAGATTCCTTTGAAGCAGCATGTGGCTTCAGTGAACTGTCTGGAAGCATGTGCTAGAGCAGTGGTTCTCTCTTTTTTTCAGTCACTGCACCCTTAAACAGTATGCAGAATCTTGAGGCAACCCACTCTAAAATATAAGTGGGGGACACGACACAAAAAACACATGAAAAAGTGGGGTTCTATACTTTGCATTGAAGTACACTCTTCAAATCAAGAGCCTCCTTTTTCACAATTCTCCCTTTCACATGCAAAGCCCCCTTGATATCATAGCCCCCCTTTTCATATCAGAATTCAAAGTATTTGAGGCACCCCCTAAGGAAGCCAGAAAGCACCCCACCCCAGTGTGCCACCGCACCCTGGTTGAGAAAGGCAGCTCTAGAGGACAGGTCCCGCTTAGGAAAGGAGAAATGGCAAATAAATAATTTCCTAAAAGAAAGCCCCCCCTCCCCCCGGTATCCACAATGAGATCCTGACAACACAGGAAAACATATCTGGAAGTGTGGAAAGCAATTGCTGTGGTTTTTCTGTTGGTGAAGTAAAAGTGATGTGAATATATGCGATCCGGCTCAAGTGTAAGCATCCCCCATAGTCGAAATGATCTCCATAGTATTCTTGGCTTGGCAGTGCGCACAGTAGATGCGCGAATTGAAGCCCCACACCTTTTGGATGATTTGAATTGGAATTTACAGGTAAATAACATGCAAGATTATATGAGCATTTAGCATTTCGTAACCAATGATTGGTGAAATGAACGGTCAGGTGACAGGGTCTTGTTAAAGGAAAAAACTATAATGGCTTTCATTATTATTTTTATCAAATCTTTTTATTTTTACAAATAAACATAAAACGAGGTGTAACAGTACCACCTGCTGCTGAACTTTGGTACTGCAGTCAATGCATTGTCATGTTACATACACATTGGCTTATGGAACGCATGTTTCTTCTTGAAGGTTGCTCGGAGAGCCTCAAACATAAATACATGATAGCAGGAAAATACTAGACATGTGCACTGCCAAAAAATTTGTTTCGTTTTAAATTCGGATTTGTGTTATTTCGTTTTTCAGGATTCGGGTGTGAAAGTCAATTCGGAATTCGGATTCGGACGAAATTCGGTAGCGTTAGTACGAACGTTCGTTTCGTTTTCTGTTCTTATTAGTTTCTTATTTGTTTCGTTCGTTTGCAGCAAAAGTGACATTTGAGGGGGGAAAAAATATTTTTCTCCTCTAATGTCACTTTGCTCCAACGAACGAAACGAATAAACAAATAAGAACAGAAAACGAAACGAACGTTCGTGCGAACGCTACCGAATTTAGGAAATGGAAATTCGGATTCGTTTGCATTCGCTATGTCTGTAATTCGGAATTCGGATACATCCGAATGTCCGAATTTACGAAAATTCGTCCGAATTTCGATTCGGAACGAAACGAATCGCACATGTCTAGAAAATACTACAGAGCATAAAATTGTGGTGACAGCTTTGGGGCTGCTGATGTCACACTCAAGACAGTGGTGTCCGGCACCGGTCTGGCCTGTTTAATATCATATCAATAGATATAGGGAGAAAACAAAACAAGGCCATTTGACACCTAATCTCATCACCATTGATCATATTAAAGCTGTACGATGCAGGCTCTGTCTCCCCTGCCGCCATCTCCGCAACCACTGCTTCCAAGATATCCTCTTCAGGGCGGCCAATGATGACCATGCGCACAGGAATCACATTATCCCAGCATCTTACTGTTTATACAGGAAGTTAAAGCGGAACTTTACCCCCTTTGACTAAAATCACATCAGCATACAGCTCTTCATGCCGATATGACATTATCTCACATTCATTAGTTAAAAAAACATTTTCCTTTTACTTACATTTAGTGTTTTTCCACTTCCTGGTCCTCTTGGGCATTAGTGATGCAGCCTGTGCCCAAGCGTGGTATCCTGGGAAGGTTACGTCAGGGAAATTGCTGGGAAATCTCATCTGCAATCTCCTGAGGTCTCAGGGAAAGGCATTTTCCTCCCCTGAGATAATGTGCATGATCACATGTCCTAGTCACATGTGCCAGAGTTCCAGGAAGTAAAGGAAGATATGTTAATCTGCCCTTAGTAAACATGGCCACTGCCAGAAGACTGGGGAGGAAAAGAAAAGTAAGGAATGCAGAGAATACAAAGCCGGCAATTATCTAGAAGTATCTGTTTGTAGATTGTCATCACTAAACATTTCTAAAGGTGTGTTTGTTGTCATTTCAAAGATAAGGGTAAAGTTCCTCTTTAACAATTTCTAGGGGAAAGAGGAAGACGTGTTTTTTGCACGTCCCTTCTGCCAAAAATCCCAACCTCCTAGCAAGTATTTATTTGTTCGCTTTCACAGCATTGGGACAGGGTCTCTTAAATGTTTGCCAATGTTGAATTCCACGGGCCGCAGTCTTATGTTTTGTCACCTTAACGGGAAGATTGCCTGTCAGCACAGGAAGTGATGAGAAATGTCCCCAATTGGTAGATACAGAGATAGCACTGGCACACACTTGGAAACTCAAGTATCAATAATCCATTGATATGTTTTATCTTGTGAAAAAAATGTCACGTGTATATAGCTGTAAGTTCACCAATGTACTTTGTCACTGTGAGTCGCTCTGATGAAGGATCCCTGTGAGGACCCGAAACGTTAGCACCGTATGACAGCATGTGACATTTCACAAAATAAAACATATCAATGGATCATTGATACTTGAATTTCCAAGTGTGTGCCGGTGATATCTCTGTATCTACTGTTAGTAATTGCACGGCGCCATCCGTGCGGTCACCTCGAGCACCACAGATACCTATATGCTGTAAGACCATAGGAGTGCGCCTGGTACTTGGAACCTACTGTGATTTCTCCATTTTGGACACAAGCGCCATCTTTATTACAGGGAGGAAGAGATTACTTCTGACAATGTTTTTATTGCTGTCTACGCTTTCCTGAATGCACCATGGTGATATATGTACATTAAAAGTATCATTGCAACTTTTTTGGGCATGATTTGGTACGATCATTTGAATGAGCTGCTTCAAAGCAACACATGTTGACATGTTCATGCAGTGCAATGGTGTGAACATGGCCTTAGTATCTGTATTTGGGTCTCTTGTAAGTCCTTGTACAGCAGCACTCAGGGTGGGAGAGGAAGTGTTAGTGCGCTGAGCCCACCTGATCTCTGCTCCTCCAGTAGTTGGCACTCACCTCTGTCCCCTCCGCTTTGGCTTGTGGACTGTCACTTGGCGTCCCGACATCTAATGCATCATCTAATGCATATGGGCCCTGCATTAGTCATTATGACGTCAGTGGTCCTGACTGACCAGAGTGCAGTGGGGGGAAAAGGCTGCAGGTGCCGGTCTTGGAACCTGCACAGGTGGGGATCAGGAAAGTAAAAGTCCTTTGAAAATGATTAGTTAACCCTTGCAGTGCAGGGGCAGCCCCACGGCAAGAAGAGTTTTTTTAGAGATTGATGTATACACTGAGAGCTCTCATCAGAGTATAAAGATGGGTGCCATGCAAATTAAAAGGAATTATGAATCTTGGGAATGTTATTATGCTCCATACAATGTCCCGATTTTGTGTGAAGGACGGGTATGTCCCAAAATACACTAGGAACTAAAACCGTCAGTGTGGCATTCATCTGAATGCTAGTTCATAACTGGCATCCTGCATGAGACGTGTGACAGGTGCACTTTAAAACCCACAATCCATGTCCAGTCACTCCCAGCACAGTCTCATCTCTTCTTTTTACCACTGGTACAAGGCTGGAAAACTTCCCTCAGGTTACCCACAATGCCTCTGGAGTAAGTCCTAGCAGACGTTGATGAAGAGCTGAGCCTCCGGGCTTTGTACCACTCGTTGCTGGTCTGGTTGGTGGTGCAGAGGTAACACACAAAGCAGGAGTAACCACCTAGTAGGAGAACGAGGATGAGCAGGAATCCCAGAGAGAAGACAATCCGCGGAAAGGTCAGGAAGAGGTGCTGGGGACATACAAAAGGTAACAGCAATGTGTGGAGGGTTAGAGTACGAGACCTCACTCTGCCCAAAGACAAATTCCAATCTAGCATTAGAAAAATATCTATATTCTGTGTGACTTCATTGTGGTCATGTGACACACAGGGCCCGCTTCCTCCTGTCTTCTGGTGGTGGGTGTCCCTGAATGCAGCTGAATGGTGCTCATGTAATTCTGTGGCACTATTCTCTGCAGAATTCTTCTATAAGCCCAAGTAATGTGATGTGGTACCCCACAGGGGGCGTGTCCTTGGCACCTTGGGATCACAGGAAGTGAATTGATTTGGGTGTCATTCCACGAATAGGCTTGGCACTGGACCACAAATCAGGGAGTCTGCAGGAGACAGCACTGGGGGGGAAGGTGAGTATTGTATCAAAAGCTACCTTTTGTATATTTTAAAAAGTGCCTTGCATTTGTTGTTTTAGAAAAATAAAGTTGAATTTGGGCTTTAAAGAGAACCTGTGAGAACATACTGTAGGAAAGTCACTGGTCTTCAATCAGTAGTTGGCAATAAATGCAGCTTTATTGCATGCAACATAAAAGTCTCCTTTAAACAAACAATTTCCAGCAGAACTCAAAAGCAACACAAATAAAAAGGCCTACTCCACCTTAGGAGGCTAACTAAACAGTAGTGTCCCTCACTATGTCCTACTGGAGCAGCTAGTCCAGCTTCCAGTATAAAATAACAAAACCACAGTCCAATACATACAGTTGTTCTGGCAGACCTTATTCCCCAGATATGCAGACACTCTCCTGTTTGTGTCCATCCAGTGCAGCCTGGATCTTGCTCTGAGCTCTCACTCCCTCCCAGTCACTATCAGGTGCAGGCTAATTAATAGAGAGAGAGGAGGTTTACCTGTTGGCCAGGCTTAACCCTTTCCTAGCCAGGGAAAGCTGCCCTTTTCAACCTCTCACTGACATACACAGAATCGTGTACCCTGTCACAATACATATCTGCGCTGCTGTTGCTCACGGGTTAATAAAGACACAGGGCCTTTGGCTATCATCCTAATACTACATAATGAATAATTCCTATGGATCAAGTATATACAAGACAGAATTTCACTGGCTGCATGCTTGTTCCCGGTTAATGACTCACAAAAGGTAGTGTGGTCAAGATTGAGATGACACATACTGTATCACATCTTGTTCATATTCAATATAATATTAACCAATTACACTGCAAAGCAATCTTTGCAAACCATCTATGGTGAGACCGTCACTGTGACAATAAATGAGGGAATCTCTCTAATGATGCCCTTGAGCAGAAAAGATCCGACAGTTCTAATCCTTCTCAAGCTTTTCCCCAAAAACATTTGGCTGGACATACACATGAATGGCTTTGCAGTCTTCAGATTTGAATCCGATCATAACTCATGAAACTTACCTGAATGATGAAAGCGATGCCAACCAACTCTTCATGGCCTTCCAGGTCCTTATAGGATGCATGCATCATATGTGACAACAGCACCACCTGCAGGAGGAATACTGCAATGACTCCCACCATTGACAGCACTGTGAAGGACAGACTCACGAGGTAGAGAAAGAAGTATCTTATGTTCCGGGCTCCGATACAGTTGTTTACCCATACGCAGTGATGATCAAATCGCTGCACGCAGATGCCGCATATCCCTATAGGAAGATTACCATACGTGAAGTTCAAGGCTTCTTTCACAACAAAGCAGGGTACACAGCAATGCAATGAGCTAGAACAGGGGTGGACAACCTCGGCACTTCACTGTTTTGGATCTACAAGTCCTATGAGGCATTGAGAGACTCTGACAGTCATAGGCATGATAGGATTTGTTCAAGCTCGCCTACCTCTGAGCTAAAATCACCATCAAACCAAAAGCTTCTTTTTGGTCAGAGTATGAAATGGCTACACCCCTCAGGTTGGTCTGTTTTTTTCTTTTGCAGTGTCCCTTTGGGGAAATTTTCCTCCACTTCCTGTACCAGAGACTCAACAGGATGTGAGAGGAACTCTTTCCAAAATGAGGGGAAAAATGGTTGTCACCGGACAGCTGTTCCCATTGGAAGATTCCCTCTCTAATCTTGTTTCAGTGACAACTATTTTGAATTTTGCATAATTTCCTGTCCTGTGAAAATGACCACCAGGACAGGGAGAGAGGATGAATCTAACTATCGGGGTTACAGACCGCAATAAAAACCCAAAAAGGAGTTTTAACACTTCCCCGTTCCATACAACACAAAAAAGGGCTTTGGATACAGTTTAAAAAAAAAAATCCATATTTGATTGATGCCCCTTTATGTAGTCAAGTGGAGGGATGCAGACTCTCAGACACCAATATCTGTGTGATTGGTCATATTACTTAATCAAATGGACTCCAACTAGGGGTTCTACGAGAGAATCTCTGTACTTGATTTTCGGGTTGCAATACCAGATTTTCACCAGCAGGGGGCACTGCAAGTAGAATTTTGAGAATACCCAGGAGCAGCATAAGAAAGGTGCTACACTGTGCTGCAACATGGAGGGATCCCAAACCTAACTGGCATCACCAGCTTTTCTGGAATTCCCCTTTTAAAGAAAGACCTTTCTTGAGAGATACATATAAGCTGCCATTGCTGTTTTCCAATTCAGCAAATGCTATTTGCCTGGCTGTCATGCCAATGGTCTTGCTTTAACATTTTGAATCCTCAACCCAGAACAAGCATGCTGATAAGAACTTCTGACTTTGACTTTCTATATCTGCATACTTGCTCCAGGTCAGTGACTCAGTAAGAACTGAGGCCAGAGGGTCAATATAACAGCCAAGAAACATTTTCAGAAGGTGGTCAGATAATCAGCCTCCATACTTCTGTTTGGAAAGGTTAGAGTAGTGTATGCTTGCGGGTATAATAAATATATGGAGCAAAAATTTCACCAGTCAGCATGACCGGACTATAGCCTTGCAATTTATATTAAAAAAGTTTGGGGACAGATAGAGCTTTCTTTTGGAGGTATATAATCACCACGGGGGTATTTTTTTTACTATATAATTTAAAAAGTACCATAAATGTAAAAAAAAACAAAAAAGTTTCCCTACATTATGTTATAAAACATTTATTCTTACCCATATTTTTAGTAAAACATAAAAGTCAGGGTCACGTCGGGTAAATAGACACCAAACATGTCAAGCCTTAAATTGCGTGCGCCCGCAAAAAAAAACAAAACAAAAAAAATCGCAAAAAACGACCATAGGTGACGATTAAAACGCTTTTACTGTTCATCAGTTTAGTGTTATCAGTGATTAAAGGAGAACTATGGGGTTAGGGATTTTCCCCATAGTTCTCCTTAGGGTAACGGATTTGCTTTGCTTTTAAAAAGCCCATAAAAGGTACTGCACATCAAATTTGGAATTATTTGCAAATATATATGTCAAGCTCTAGTTTCCCGGGGTTTCCAGTCCTGGAGTGTGTACCTTTAAAAGAAGTCAGCAGGAACTCCCATACTCCCTTCTTCTGGGGATAGTTTTGATGTCTATTGGTACTTGTTCTGAGCAGAGATCAGCGTTTCTGGCCTCTGGCTGATATGAGTTACTGACCGCTATCACCTTGTCTGCAAATGTTTTTTCTTCCAATTCTTTGTTCTCTACATAAAAGGTTCTCACCACAGTGCTTTGATCTTGCTGGCTTCATCAGGAGACACGTCTGACATTTTCTTCCTTGATGGAACATGACGCCGTCATACTGGTACATCCGAGTGCAACATTGCTCGTTATCTGTGGTCACTGTCCCTAAAACACAGAAAAAGGATTCATTCGATCTTACATCACCTCACTGCAGAACAAGGCTTTGCCTGCAGTCCCATAGCCTGTTAATACCTCTTACTGCAATGCAGCAACTCCCAGTGACCAATCACATTTCACTTCAGTGTAGTCTGACCAGTACAAGATGGATGTAGAATGACTGGTAGAAGTACTTCTCTTAGCTCCTTATGCGTTCTTACTATATAAACCGATAGGGAACCTCTCCAGCTTTGGAACTCGGGCAAAAGTGTTCTTAACCCTTGCAGTGGGCCTACCCCCACACTGCAAGCGTTAAGGGCTTGTTTTTGTCTAGGGTGTTAAATAAGAAAGTTATACTCACCCGATGCTCAGAGCTGGCTCGCTTTTAGACTGGTCCTTGGAGCCTCACTCCCCCTCCGCTGCATTGGTCTAAGGATCCTTGAGTCATCATGTTCTATACACATTGTATAGGATGTGAGGACGCTGGGGGACATACCATTGATGCAGTGGAGAAGGAAACACACTTCAGGTGCTAGAGTAGTAGCAGGAGGCTCCGTGGTGCGGGCGAGTATAACTTTTATTTAGCACCTAGACAAAAACGAGCACTTAACCCTTACAGTGCAGAGGTAGCCCCACTGTAAGGGTTAACAACACTTTTGCCTGGAGTTCTGCTTTAAAAGGCTTTTGGAACAACTACACGCAGTTTAATTCACTTATGTATTTGTTATATTAAAAAAAAAAAAACATATGTGGTTTACATACAGCTTGTATAGACAAACTTCATACATGTCTTTATATTTGCTTACTGTAATCTCTTGCACAATAAAACGCAGACAGAGATAGGAAGAGCCAGTGCTGTCAGCTAAGACTATATTGCATTGTACAGTCATCAGTTTAACATGGTAAACAAGCTTACAGGAGGAAAAGCACAGAAAAGAACTCAAAGGCCTGTGAGTTCTTCACCTGATCTGAAGGCAAGAACAAAGAGGTGACACCGCTGCAATTCCTAGATGGAAGAAAGAAGGAGGTGTCCCCCACCTGGCTATGCAAGGCTGGCTGAACAGAACTACACTTTTGGCAGGTGAAACAGTTCACATATATAGATTTCAATAATACATTCAACTATGTGTGGTCACTTCTCCTCAGCATGCAACTCCTGGGCAGGCCTGAACCAAAAATAAAAGCAGCATGTTCATAATGCAACAGGAACTTTTTGTATTTGTTCTATGAGAGCTGTTGTGTCCATCAGTAGGATGCATTGGAAGAGGTGGGTGCAAACACCAATGTATTCCGGGTATTGGGTCCTGGCTTGATTATTGGCTTCTCCCCATCAGAGATAAAACTGATAATGGGTTATATTGTAGGTGAAATTCAGACACCTACATTACACATTTACACAGAAATCAATAAAACCCATTTCACCACGAAATATGCGTTTGGTTTCAGCAGCTCTTCACTTTAAGATAATATCCGGTTTCATTTAAGTCGGAATTCTTTAATTGTGTTTCGTATATGTTACATAATTAATAGCCACTATAGACCAGAACGGGTAATTAATATAATTGCAGATTCACTAAAACGCTCGTCTCTAATCTGTCCACCTCTCTGCAGCATGAATCCAATGGTGTGAAAGCCAAAGCCGAGCTAATAGATCTGAATTATTGTGCTGTCAGTGCTGTGGCTGTATAGCCAAGGAAGAGGGACTGTTTCCTGTGTCACCTACCTGCTTGTTGAACAAGGTTGTAGCAGCCGTTTAGGAAACCTGCACTGAGAATATACATATACTATCATTGCTGAGTTCTCCTTTTGAAAATCTTCCTTTCCAGGCCGTTATGTTGACCTGGAACAAGTATGAAGATCGGAGTTCTGACTTCTATCAGAATTCATTAACTTCAAACTTATTCAAGATCAGACAACCAAGACATACTACACTATATGGCCAAACGGATGTGAACACCCTTCCAAAAGGATTTAGCTCAGATCTTTCCAGTGAAAGGTACTGGTAATATTACAGCATACAAACACATTTTGGAGAACTGTGCACTTCCAACATTGTGGCAACAATTTGGGGAAGGTCATTTTCTGTTCCACCATGACTGTACCCCTGTGTACAAAGCCATCTCCATATAAATATGGTTTGATGATTTTGGTGTGGGGGAACTTGAGTGGCCTGTATAGAGCCCTAACCTCAATGAATTTCAACAGATTGTAAGCCAGGACTTCTTAATCAACATCAGTAGCTGACCTCACAAATGCTTTTATGGCTGAATGAGCACGCATTCCACAGACAAGACTCCAAAAATCTTGTGGAAAGCATTCCCAGAAAAGTGTCATGACTGCATCGTGGGACAAATCCATACTAAAGCTTGTGGTTTTAGAATGGGATGTCCAACAATCTCATATTGCTGTGATAGCCAGATGTCCACAAACCTTTGGCAGTGTAGATGGCAGCCACTTTATATATAATATGCCCCTTGCTTTACAAACTGTAGCAGAATGGAAGTGTGCTTTCTTACCTGGGTCAGATGTGCAGCATTTGTAAAATAAATAAAGATTCACAGTGATTAAAGCATAGGGCAGGTAGACAAACATCCAGTGCAGTTCCATCTCTAGGCTGTAGTCCACCACCTCCCAGGTGTATTCTGCAAACACTGCTGCATCCAGAACCAAGTGCAGGACCACAAAAGCTGCACTCCTACAAAGCAAAGTAACAGAAGTCTCATCAAAAGCAACCCTACATGGAGATATTAAAAGGCAACCAGTGAGCATAGAAATATGGGAGCTGCCATTGCTAACCGGGGCTGTCATTATAATCCTGGCATATCTAGCTATTGAGTCCCTGACCTAGAACAAGCATGCAGGACATGAGTTTAGAAATGTTTAGACTTCACTACTTGTATAGTTGTTAAAGGCCATCGCTAGCCAAACCTATTGATTCCAGTTTGCATAGTGGGCGTGAGGAGTGTTAGAACCTGTCAGACAACTCAGCCCTCCTTACCATCTTGTCTTGAATTGTATTGTAATTGTGATGTCTTCCTTATATTGTAAAGCGCTGCGCAAACTGTTGGCGCTATATACATACTATGTAGTAATAATAATACTGAGCGAGCTTTAAATTAAAAACTTATAAAGAACTAAAATCGAGGATTAACCAACTCTCCAGACTGTTCTCCTACCATAAACCTAAACCATGATGAAGAGGGGTTTGCGTATGACCCCCGAAACACATAGACTGTCACCTTTTCACAGACTACTTTATTGTAATAGAAGAAAATGATCATATCTGTACCAATTCCTACGGCTTGGTGCTCTCATCCTTTCTCTCCAGACAAGGTTTTTTTTTTTATCTATGTCTGTGTCACAACTGGAGAGATTTCCCCTCACTTCCTGTCTGGGTGACAGGTTATCTCTGGAACAGGAAGTGAGGGACAATATTCCCAGTAAGGAAACAGCCGACTCTAAAAACCTAACAGAAGTTCTAACCAAATCTGAAGAAATAGTCTTGCTTGGAGTTTCACTTTAACATGCACAACTTCACCTGCACATCTCCACGGCTTGTGATGCAAGTATGAAAAATAGGAGAGAAAAGTGGCAATGCCTGTAAGTGTGCAATCTCATATAACATACCTTGTATAGAAGCAGCCGGTGAAATGACTATGCAGCCAAGTTGGTAATACATAGGAGAGCGCCTGCAAATATAAAGGGGTTCAGCTTCACATATGGAGGTAAATGAATGTTTCCAGCTTGGTGTTACCCATCACAAATTGAAGGATCTGGATGTTCAGAACTGAAGGATCAGACACTGGTGGACTTCATGATAACCTGGCATTCAGATCATCTCTTCATGCATGCCAGGTTACCATGAAATCATATGACACCATACACTGCTGTAGTAAGCTGATTATTAAAATGTTACTTTGGCCATATAGTATGCAAATTTCAGGCTGGTTCCTGAGGAACTGACCGAAATTCGCACAGTGGGTCCCACTGCCGACACCCTTTCGCCCAGCATCCCTTGATCAGCTGATTGAAGGAGTCGGTAAGAAAATCTTCGAACGAACAGAGCCGGCAGTAGCCAATGCGCTCTTGGCTCTGTTCGGGTATCCTGATAGCGAATGTCCGAATACAAAAGAAACAGCAGGGGTTTCCCCGATCAATGCTCGTAAGCGATGATGGAGGAATCTGTTCTATTATTTTTTTGTTCAACCTGCAGGTTGAACAATAAAAATAAACCAGTGTAAGGCCAGCTTAAGGTGTAAGGATTATTCATCCAATGCAGTATATAGAAATCAAGGAACAAACAAGACTGGATGCTGCCAGCGGCACGGAGCGATGTTCTGTCATATGTCGATAGATTAAGTTCCTTGTATACAATATTGTTCTCCGACACTGTCCTTAGGTTGCTATGGAAATAAAAAATCTCACCTCTTCAGCTCTGTAGAACACGCCGTCCAGCCGGCCCCTCGATCCTCCAGACAAGCAGCAGTAAATAGAGACACAGAGAACAAGGACGGACACATAGATGAGGAAAAGCCACAGGAAGTCCATTCTGAGACTGGGAGAAAACACAGACATAAGATTAGGTGTATGCCTCCGTACCATGCTAGATAATTCATAGCTCTGCTTATATTTTAGAAACTGAAGGAGTAAACGTTTCTGTAAAGGTCACAAAAATGAACAGCATGCGTTTCGACATTCTCAAATCTGCTGGAATGGCTGAAGCATGGGTATACAGTACAGGGACAGTCTGCCATATGGGCAGGCAACCTCAGCTGTAGTGAAACTACAAATTCCATTATACTTCTGCCTCGGGGAGTCATGCCTGAGGCTGTCAGAGTATTGCAATGCCTCATGGAACTTTTAGTTCCACCACAGCTGGGGTGCTGAGGTTGCCTACCCTTGGACTACCAGCTAAACCTCACTACTCTGGACCGGCTTCGTGAAAGTGACCACAGCAAACCATGCCTGTGCAATGTATATCCACACGGCCACTCACTTACATAGATTCCAGCTGTCCTGGGACAGTCCTGAACCTAGATCCTCTGTCCCAAGATCACAGCATCACCCTTATTTGAGTTAATGAGCCTGCACAGTAACTCAAAAAAGGGTATTAAATGAGGGGATCATGGCTAAGGATAGGCTTGGGCGTGTTCGCAGCTCCACGCGCCGAGCCCACCAGGAAGCTGACAGCACGCAGCGCCAATCACAGGTACTGAGACATTTTCCCGGTCCGCAGCTGCAGAGATCGGGAAATGTCTCAGTGCCTGTGATTGGCGCTGTCAGCTTCCTGGCGGGCTCGGCATGTGGAGCTGCGACCACGCCCGAGCCAATCCTTAATCATGGGCACAAGTGGGCGGTTTGCACATAATTATGGGCAGGACCAAAAAGTTGGAGTGATCTATATAGCACCACCCAGAAGTTTTGCATGTGACGTGTGGGCATTGTCTGGCTGGGCACTGGGACAAATATGTTGACAAGTATGCATGTACAGTCTACACTGGGAGAGAGTGACAAACCAGGAGCACAATCGGGAGACAGGGACAGAGTGTTGTCACCCCATAACAGGAAGTACCTGAAGGGCAAGATCACCAGTTTTCATTTTAATAAAAGCTGCAGGTTTGAAACGACTGAAAATAACGTTGACAATAAAAAAATAACACCTTTAAGCTGAGAATTTTGCAATCTGGTTTACACACTAAGACAAATATTCTTTCTTGCATACAGTAATTGCGACTGTGTCTCTTTAACACTAAAACTTACACAACGCCCGACAAATACAAACAGTTCTTTAAAAAAAAAAAAACAGAAGACATGAGTCACTTACACGAACTTATGTCAAACCACCTGTGTGTTTATTATACAGCGCCGGGTGCCGCCATCTTTCTACACCCGGAAGAGGAGAACTACTTCGGTATAGGTAATACACCCAGGAAGTGGAGAGGGGGGTCACGTGAAGTCCTGAAAAGGAGAGCGACGATCCAGGCTTTAGAAACGATCGCCGAAAGTGAGAATGATCAATGCTGCAGCCAGTAGCTATAGATGGGAGGACTATGGAGAAGGATGAGGCTACATGGGCTGCTCTCAGCAGGGTGTTATTTTACTGAGCCACATGTACAGTACTTTAATCCTTCCCCTTTCTTTTGCTGTTGATAAACCCACTGGTCTCCAACTATCCCTGATATGTCTTTGGAGATGTACCTGGTCCTTTTGTGCCATATTAATGGAAACCTGTGCTGAGGGCAATATGGAGACTGTCGTTGCTCTCCTCTCCTAAAAATGCAAATTTTCTGACTGACAGCCAGCCCTTTGGCTTTATTAGGTCGCTGACTCAGACCAAGGCCCTAGGGCAGGGGTGGCCAAACTTCCAGCTGTGGTGGAACTACAAATCCCATGAGGCATTGCAGGATTCTCACAGCCACAGGCATGACTCTCAGAGACAGATGCATCATGGGATTTGTAGTTTGACCTCACTGGTTGCTAGGTCCTGGGCAGGACAAAGGCCAAAGTGTTTGCGGTTGCTAAGAGCTGGGCAGGGAGATGTGTAAGGGTTACGGTTGCCACCTGTCCAGGATTCACCCGGACAGTCCGGGTTTTGAATGCTGTGTCCGGGTTTTGAATGCTGTGTCCGGGTTTCATGGCAGCAGAAACCCGGATACAAGATGTCAGGCAGACAGGGACAACCAAAATTAAGATAGAAGCCACTGGCCCCCCACTGAAAATAGTCTCAACTGTGATATTTACATCTGTAACACCTGTCTCTTAGAAATCCTGAATGTCACTGGATGCCATGAGCTGGGCCATAGGTGCAAATATATGTAGAAACACCCATGACTGTGTATGTCTTGTAGTTCCACAACAGCTGCTGTGCCGAGGTTGTCTACCCCTGATGTATGGTGGCCATTAGGCAGAGTATTTACTTTAAAAAGTTTGCCTCTAAGTGCAACTGAAGACAAAACCTTTTTTTTCTGTATTTTGGATAGAGTGCAGAGGGATTAGACCCCCTGTCCAGTTTTGGTTGCTGTCTGTGTCCTCGTTAGGGAGATTCACCCTCTCTAAGTGTCCTGGTGACCATTATCACTAAAAGAAAATCCCACATTTTGGGTTGCCATCAGAAGAGAAACAGATGGGACATCTTCCAGTGGTGGCCACCAGGGATATCCCTCTCTCTGGAGGGATGGGATTGGTGACCACCAGGGATTTCCCTCTCTCTGGAGGGATGGGAGTGGTGACCACCAGGGGTTTTCCTTTCTTTGGAGGGATGGGAGTGGTGACCACCAGGGATTTCCCTCTCTATGGAGGGATGGGAGTGGTGACCACCAGGGATTCCCCTCTCTATGGAGGGATGGGAGTGGTGACCACCAGGGATTTCACTCTCTATGGAGGGATGGGAGTGGTGACCACCAGGGATTTCCCTTTCTTTAGAGGGATGGAAGTGGTGACCACCAGGGACTTCCCTCTCTTTGGAGGGATGGGAGTGGTGACCACCAGACAGAAAGTGAAGGGAAAGCTCCCTAATGGCACACAGAGGGTAAAACAAAAAAGCTGGCAGGGGTTATAACCTCCCTTACTCTATCCAAAACTGAAAAAGTTGTGTCTTCAGTTCTACTTTAGTTATAAAGGAAAGTCCAGGCTAGGGCCATTCTGCTACTGATAGCTCTTTCATATGAGGCGTAGTGGATTAGTTTTAGTGTCTTCCTGGTCAGCGCTATTAAATTCCCGTCTTAATGAGCAGTGACACTTGGTGTTGTATGTGAGTGTCAGGACATCTGAGTCTGTTATCTAAGAGTGACATCTCCATCCTCTCATGTTACCTGAGCTGCAGACGGCCACAAGAATACACGTGATAACGGAGCGGAGGGAGCAATTCAATGTGTCTTTAGGAAAGGCTCCGACCGCAACAAAACGTTTCAACAACTATTGTCCCGCCGAGATGCATATGAGGATCTCTTGGAGCCAGCGACAAAACATGGCTACTTTATACATGGTCAATTAACCCCGATTTCCACCCCGCTCTCTGCAAAATGAGTCTAATTACTTTGCAGCCTGAAGAGGGACTCAGGGCAAAGTCATATGAGGACACGACATACCAGACAGACCCCCAGATATTAATGTCAAAAACTAAAAATAAATCTGTATTTCTATTTTGGATTTCCATAAGTTCTATCCCGCTCCTAATAACCAGATCCATCTAGAAGATTGTAAACTTACTGATTGAAGATGCCCACAGTATGGACTTCCTCAATGCACTGACACCATTTCACTGACTTCCTGGTGTCTCTCACAGAGCCTGCCTTCTGCACTACAACTCAACATCTGAACAATGTAACATTATCATTGCTTGCTGGAAGCAATGCATGATGGGATATATATTCTTCCCTCCATTGATTGAAGCTGAAAGCGACAAGGATTTTGTCACTTCCAGTTTCCGAGCTGTCATTCATTCCCCAGCCGCTGTGGCCAGGGATGAAACTGATCAACCACAATCTGCGCTTGGTCGGCTTCATTCGAGTAAAAATAATTTTTTTTTTAGAAATGGCCTAAGAGAGGCAACATATATAAAACAATTAAAAAAGGCCGCACACATGCAACTCTGAATATTACTCCACTAAACAGTCAAACAAAGAAACATTGGAGCCACAGTCCCAATAATGTCCAAGACAGTGGACTATAATAGTAGATAGTGGACTATAATAGTAGATAGGGGATATATAGTGTGCTATAATAGTAGATAGTGGACTATAATAGTAGATAGGGGATAGATAGTGGACTATAATATTAGAAAGGGGATAGATGGTGGACTATAAAAGAAGATAGGGGATAGATAGTGGACTATAATAGTAGATAGAGGATAGATAGTGGACAATAATAGTAGATAGGGGATAGATAGTGGGCTATAATATTAGAAAGGGGATAGATGGTGGACTATAAAAGTAAATAGGGGATAGATGGTGGACTATAAAAGTAAATAGGGGATAGATGGTGGACTATAAAAGTAAATAGGGGATAGATGGTGGACTATAAAAGTAAATAGGGGATAGATGGTGGACTATAAAAGTAAATAGGGGATAGATGGTGTACTATAAAAGAAGATAGGGGATAGATAGTGGACTATAATAGTAGATAGAGGATAGATAGTGGACAATAATAGTAGATAGGGGATAGATAGTGGGCTATAATAGTAGATAGGGGATATATAGTGGACTATAATAGTAGATAGGGGATATATAGTGGGCTATAATAGTAGATAGGGGATAAATGGTGGACTATAAAAGTAGATAGGGGATAGATGGTGGACTATAATAGTAGATAGGAGATAGATGGTGGACTATAATAGTAGATAGTGGATAGATTGTGGGCTATAATAGTAGACAGTGGACTATAATAGTAGATAGGGGATAGATGGTGGACTATAATAGTAGATAGGGGATAGATGGTGGACTATAAACGTAGACAGGGGATATATAGTGGACTATAATAGTAGATAGGGGATAGATAGTGGGCTATAATAGTAGATAGGGGATATATAGTGGACTATAATAGTAGATAGGGGATAGATAGTGGGCTATAATAGTAGATAGGGGATATATAGTGGACTATAATAGTAGATAGGGGATAGCTAGTGGAGTATAATAGTAGATAGGGAGCTGATGATGGTAGGATTATAGTAAGTACCTATTTCCTATGGTCCTCAGCTCTATCTAGTGGCCATAATGTGGTATTTTCTTGATCCACTCTATTCTTTATGAATAAATAACATTCAACCTGGACGGAAAATAGCCTGACAACACTAGATTTTACCCCATCTGCACAGAACAAATGTACATGCAAATTCACAGGACGAATAGCTCTGGGAATTGTTTATAAATACATTCCAAAGCGATAGAAAATCCAAAAACCAGTTGTCACCAGAGGGTAAATCTCCATTTCCATGAGTGTAATCTATGAGGGAAATTGCCTTCACGTTGTAGGGATTTCCTGCCACTTCTGGTTATGTCTCTGGGACAGGAAGTGGAGAGAAGTCTCTACCACAGGGCAAAATCAGAAATACATAAATAAATAATAGGGAGTTAACACTTATCTCTTCTATCCAAGATGAAAAAATACACTTTTGGCTATACATGCACTTTAATGCATTTAGCTTCACAGCCCTGGAGCCAGCATGAGGGCAACTCTCCCAGGATTCATTATAATTGGTGGCTAGAGGCACTTGCAGGGCTGTAACTGCAGATCACAGGGCCCCATAGCAAAAGAAAATATGGGGGCCCCCCTTATGATCTCTCGTCTCTCTCTGAGCTGTGGGTAATGATGCCAAGATACCAAAGACTCCTCCTTGCCTCTAAAGTCATCTCTACACTGTAGACTTTACAGGGGAATAGAGTTGTCGTCAACTGCAACCACTCCAACCCTTAGGCTGCGTTCACACCTGAGCGGTTTTTTTATGCTCGTTTTTCTCATGATTTTTCGCTCAGTGAAACGTGCGTTTCACTGGCGGTATGATTTCTTCCCCCTTTATTTTCTCTATTTAAAAAGAAAAAAAAAATGTTTTTTTGTTTCACTTTTAAACTTCCCGCCGGCTCTGCCCCCCTGTGGCGCGACCGCTCGCAAGGGATGGAACCCGGAAGTCGGCAGCTGCCGAAGACAGCGGGGATCGCGGACAAGGTAAGAACTGTACGCTGTATTCCCGAGTGTGGCTCGGGGTTACCGCTTTGTGAACCCTGATCCACACTCGGGAATACCAATGGAAACGCGCGGCAAAACGCCCCAAAGAAGCTCCTGTACTTCTTTGGAGCGTAGGAAGTTTTGCAGCGCGTTCCTACGCACTGTAAAATGCCCAG